AATTTTCGGACTGGGTCTGTAGCGGTTTCGTTCAAGATTAGTGAATTAATATAATAAAAATATTTAGAAATTTAGAATTAGATTTAATTGTAGAAATAAGATTTGCTTATATATGAACGTCACCACGATGAACACGACAATGGTTAACTTACTTCCAACTTTTAGTATTTATTTTCATTCCACCAGAACCTCTTATTAGAGTAAGTACTTAGGTGTAGCAACGGTCATCCTGTACTATAATTACTTTGTTTAATAGGTGAATTTAAAATCCTTTATAGGAGGCTTTATAATCCTTTTCTATGTGTATATATTTATGCAACGTGTAACGATCTGTTGTTAATACAAGGTTCTCTACCTAGACCGAAGAATATCGTCTTTATTTTCCTTTAGCGTCGTAAATTTCCCTCTGCGCCTTAAATTTCCCTTTCCCTTAAAAGCGTCTCACATTGAATGAGAGATGCTTTAGGTCCGTACTTCCAATACTTCCAATTAAAAATCGCTCTAGTAACCTTAGCAGCCTATTTCTCGTCTGTGATTGGTTGGTCATCGAGTAGCGTGATTGGCTGACAAACTTTCGACTAACTTTTTCAGAACTTGAAGGAAGATTTAAACAGAGTCACGACAATCATGCCGATATTGGTTTGACAATAAATATTGTTAATGAAAAGAGAAAAAATTATCACTACCAGCACCAGGGGCAACGGCTATGAACTAAAAAAACTGCGTTGTAACACATCCATGCGACAACATTTCTTCTCGCTTCGAGTTTCCGACATGCGAAACAGCCTCCCTGATAGCATTGTTGACGTTCCTATAGTATGAACGACTTCAATTAAGAACAGACTAGGCGAAGCTATGCAGGAGCATATGTTCAGTCTCAAAATGCCTAGCACCTACGAGCCTTACAATAAGTCCAGCAGCTATCTCAATCAATCGGCAGTTATGGAAAGATTGGGTTCATAAGGCCGGATCCCTTGTGAATCAAGTCACGAAAAGTACAAGAATTGGAAACAGGCCATGGGCCTATTTCTTCAGTGCCGACATTTCTATTCTATTCTAACAACAACAGAGACCCAAAAATAACAACAACAGAGACTCTTATAGAACAAAAACCGAGACTAAAGGAAAAAATTCAGAGACTTTGAATGAAAACAGCAGAGATTATGAACAAAAACAAGGTAAGCTTCAAGTACAAAACATAGGCTGCCAAATACTAAGAGAATAAGCTTGAACTATATGAAGATGAATATTCAGATTACGATGCCCAGCAGATTGCTAAATTTGAATCTTCCATTGAAAACCGCAATGGCGAATATTTCGTAGATTTGCCCTGGATTGAGGACAAGGTTAGTGCTGTAAAGTCTAACTTTAGTTTAGCAAAAGCTGTTCTAGATAGAGTACTTAAGAAGTTGCATTCCTCAGGTATGTTCCAGGCATATAATGAAGTTTTCCTCCAGCAGCTGCAGGAATAGTATACTTGAGGAGATTGACCTTGATGCTGTTGATCCTTCACAGCATGTATGGATCCCTCATAGAGCGGTCATTCGTACCGGTGAGCAGGTAACTACGAAAGTAAGGCCTGTTCTCAATTGCAGTCTGAAAGTTGACTCGACTCCTTCTCTTAACGAGTCTGCTTATCCAGGAGTGAATCTCCTAACAAAACTTGCCGATCTTTCGTTGAAAGTTAGATTGGATGATTATCTCGTCATGAGTGACATCCGTAAAGCATTCCTGATGATCAAACTTAAACAGGGAGTTGATCGCAATCGGTTTTCAATCTTGTGGGTTGACGAATCCGGTAAACTTAAAGCTTACAGATATTCTTCTCTTGTTTTTGGATTCATTTCGTCACCATTCATTCTTAACTATGTAATAAAGCATCATGTAAAACAGTACCCGCAGGACGAGGTCTCCGCAATTCTTGACTCTAACTTCTATGTAGACAACTTGTTCCTGACCGGCAATGACCTCAGTAAGTTGATTAACCTGTACAAGGAGTCGCTCTCTCGTATGGCTGAGGGTGGTTTCCAATTGAGATCTTGGGCCTCAAATAACCCTGAGCTTTCTGAGGTATTCCGGCGTGAGGGTGTCGGGGCTGACCACCAGGCTACTGCTGAGAAGTTGTTCGGGTACAACTATTTCCCGAAGAGTAACGCTATCGCTGTGGCTGGTGCTGCCTTCAGCGAAAACCCTCAATTCTCAAAGAGAATCATCTTGTCGGAGATATCTAAAATTTTCGATCCCTTGGGCCTATGTTCTCCTGTCACTGTGAGAGGTAAGCTTCTGATGAAGCACATTTGGGAGAGCAAGGTTGGCTGGGACGAGCCTCTTTCCGAGGAGATAATCTCTGATTGGCTCCAACTAAAGCATGACTGGCAGACTCTGCCAGAGGTGCAATTTGATCGCAAGCTGGCGCAAAAAGGTGAAGAGGTTTCACTGGTGTTGTTCACCGATGCATCCAAACAATTTTATGGCTTCAATGCCTACGTTGTTTCTGAAAGTGAAACCGAGCCTCGTGCAAAGCTGGCATTTGCGAAAGTTAAGAATGCGCCCTCTATGAGCAAGTCTTTGCCTACACTTGAATTGGAGGGCTAATTGCACATCTGAGGTAACCCCGTAAAATCGGCGCCTGAGCGCCAATGCAGGAACAATAATATTGAGGCAAGGAGTTACAGGCGCCGGTTTGTGGGCAAGTGTGAGCTTCAGTGCGTGTAGAGTGCGGAATCAAAACTCAGTTATGTATATGTCGGTTAGCTCGTAGCATCGCAGTCACTAACACGGTAACGGCGTTCAGTCCTGTACGACGCGATCGGCTGCAGTTGATGGACGTACAAAGAAGGTAACAGGCTTCGCTCGGGCGTGTCGCAATCATCAGAATTGGAGCTAGTGACAACTAAAGTAATCAAAGCTCGTCCATTTTCTTCCCACGCAATTCAAGCACCTACTATTTTAATAGCGATTTTTTTTCGCTGCTCATGAAGCAGATATTTTTATTAAGTAATTTTGGTTGGCTGCTACACTGATTTTTTTTTGGCTGAAAACTTACTTTTGGCTGAAAATGTAAATCACCTCCTAATTTATACCACTTACAAAAACGAAAATTGTGATCTCACAAAGTATTAGGCTAATCCCATACCATCACAACAATATTATTTCGGCTCTGCAGCCGGCGACGGCCTGCTCTATTCCCTGCCCTAAATTTTAACTGGGAAACGCCGAATGCTGCATGAATTGCAAGCACGCACGCATAAACTTAGAAAATAAGTTTATTAGATGATCATGAAGATAAACTATTGAATGATTTTTGTTTATGAAAATAGATTTGCGAAGCTTAATTATTACCGGTATAAATTGTGATATTTACACGAAATTCATGCCAGCAATAAAATTGGATGCGAACAAATTTCATGAACTGGCATTGGTGGGACCGGGTATGTATCACTCGAGCCCAAATATCGATAACACAAATAATAAATTTTTGTTTGAAACACGTGCTGAATTAAGGAGTTATAACAGCCTCCACCAGATGTTATGAGACTTAGAGCATCAATAAGTTTAATGAAAGAAATGCTCGGAGACCTAATTGATATACTGTAATAACACCAATGTATATTCGATATATAAAATAACAATACTCTGAAATGTGACATAGCTATTCGTGATCTGACTTACAAATTTATTTCAACAAACTGGCAAACCCAACATTTTACATACTCTGTTAGGCTTGATGATCGAATGTTGGATGGTGTTAGAGAACATGAAGGTACAAATATAGTGTATTTAATTACTGTTGATTCAATGCTTTTTCACTGCAGTGTAATCAACGGATCATATCTTTATTGGTGCTTTACACAGTATCTTATATAAATTGTCCTGTAAAGCTTCCCTTGGGTATGAAATTCTAAAGAATCCTAGTCAACAAATTTATCTAACTGTAGATCAGCCTTCAATTTATGATATCTGAATTTGGTTAACAGAACAGAATAAAAATATTTTGAACACTATATATAGGATCAAGAAATAACAGTACAGTTGCACTTGAGCTAAAAAATAAATAATCTTTAAGACAATTATTTAGAAAAATTGAGAACTTACAATGGAACGAACCTATTCAAATTGATGAATCAATTGAAAAGTTGAAACTCGGAAATGAGGAAACTTAGGGCTATAGCTATTCTGGAACTGCGACAACTCTGAAAAGATTGACAACTCATCAACGGGGCTCCAAAGAAAATATGATATTATTTTAGAGTATTGATACTAAGAAAAATTAAAAATCGAATGATGGATTCAACGAACGTAGTAATTATTTAGGAGCCGATGATGTTTAATTTAATGTTCCAATTCCTCTTAAACATATTTTCCGAATCATTGAAAATTATAGCAAAGTTATCGATGGGTAAATTACTATCAAAAGGCTTATTTGGAAAATAACGGCTTACAAGCCTTCTGATGAATATAATATTAAACTATATCGTCAAATGAAAGATAAAATTCGAATATCAATGCATACATGAATGGACAATTAGAAGAAACAATGAGTCCTAATATTGGACTCTTACACCAAGTCCGGAAACTCAAAGACCTCGTTATGTCATTTTAGCATTGCAAGCCGGTAGAGATAATTCACAACTTTCAAATAATGCACTGTTTGATCAATGTGATTTAAAGAATGCATATATCAAGCTGAATAAGGAAAGATATCCTGAACGAAACTTACAAATTGATTTCAATAATTACAATTATGCAGTAGTTTATAAAATGATGATAGATTATGCATTTTATACAAATAGTGCGGTTGCAGACAGAGATTGTAGGTTTTTACATCCGATTTTCATATTTGATATCAGCCGACAAGATGAACGTCTTAAGGACAGTCTTATTGATGTGAAGATTAAAGCTGAATTCAATAATAACATTCCGGACAATACACATGCCAATGCTGTGATTCTTGCAGACAGATAGAAAATATAGTATGAGACGAGGATAGACGAATAGCGCAATATTAGGTTTGTTTTAAGTTTATGAGGTTGGGATGAGATCGGATTTAGGTGAACATCATGGTTCTCATTACAAATGCAAGGCACAGCCATACCCCACAGGAATCAGTTATTTTCAGTAAGGTAGCTTTCGGATGGACGCCCAGTGTGCTTCGGCATTGTGTAGTAGATGCTCTAATGAGGAGGTAGGTGTCGTGCAGCTTTTCACTGGCTGCCATCTCACGGAATCTCACACATGAGTCCTTCTCCCAGGACCTCAGCGCCGGCTCCAAGCGCGTCAAGTTGACCGCACCTAACGAAGGCAAAATTACTGGTTTTCCGGAATTATGGTAGAGTGAAACAAACAAGTTCCAGGGAATATGTTTTGGTGCAATTTTCATCATATTTCATCCATAAAAAATATTAAAAGAATAAAATTGGCAAATTACATTTTAATAGTTAAAGTTCGCATTCACTTAGCATAGCTGAGGGAATCATTGTCTTCTATAGGTTTGGACTCATCTATTCCTCATTTAATTCAGCAATGAGACAGGCATTTGATCATGTCTAGGTTTGAAAGCTAGAGAATTAAAGCAGATATTTTAATTTTTTATAATTATTATATTGAAAACATCCTAGCCTAATATATGCCAAGGAGATATATTAGTGTTGCTGTTCGAATTCATTACATGCTGCTGGACTGAAATTAAATAAATTAACCAAAATTCACATCAACATGTTGTAATCAATCTATGTTATGAAAATAAATCAATCAATTAGTTTATTTGCTGCGTTATGAGAGCTTGATAAGCAATTTATTCAGCAGCCTATGAAATTTATTCAATTCAAATAAATTTTTAATGACAAATCCATGTTTCACCGAATCAAATGGATTATCAAGCCAGTGTAAGTTCACGCAAACAGAAATTTATCCGGTAGCGAATTGTTTTTAGAAATAGAGACTTTGTGAGGTTCAAAAACTGTCGTTTCTTGGACCATATCAATGACCACTTCAATGCTCAAATGATGTTAGTTTTTCATAATTAATCTTAAAGGTTATATTATATTTCTCACCTTCGCACCTGTAGGGAACCACCACCATTCCGTCTGCTCCGATTGGCCACGAAGTAATTCCTTTCAATATGTTCCTCGTGGCCATGTTTTGACTTAATGTCATTGGTGACAATTCCACACCTCCCATCACGATACTCACTAGACCTTCACCTGAAGTTCCATAATTTGGAGGTGCCTATAAGAGATTTAGATATTATTAGGTTCGCAATAAGAGTTTTAGTATAAGATAGCAGAAGGATAGCTGGAGTCCAATGCGAAAAGATAAGGGATTTCTCGTCTGTGTTATCATCGGTCGGATGATGTCGGTACTCAAAATGCATCATGGTTATTCCAGTTCTCGTCTTGAATTCTCTATCGCGTTCAACAAATTTTGATCTGTTATTAGCATTTTGTAATCAAATTGAGCGGCATTGAAAAACTAGATATGATTTAGTTAAAACTTGGATTAGCTTCAGTCAAATAAACCCAATTTTTATTTCGATCAAAATTTAGGTTTCGATTAAACTTTAGCGCATGAATTAAATGGCATTCTATGTCGTGTGGTCGCCAAAACTAGAAAAGGACAAAATTTTAGTCGAGAGTTTTCAAAGACGTGCAACAAGGATAATTCTGGGATTGAAAGGCAAGCCTTATGAAGAAAGAATGAAAATTATGAAGCTTCCAAGTCTCCGTTATCGACGTCTGCATGGTGACCTCATTGAAGTATACAAATATACCCACGGTTAATACAAGGTCCCAGAAGGATTGCTAGAATTTGATACAAGAACCAACACCAGGGGCCACGGCTATAAACTAAAAAAACTGCGTTGTAACACATCCCTACGACAACATTTCTTGTTGCTTCGAGTCACCGATATGTGGAACAGCCTCCCTGATAGCATCGTTGACGCTCCGAGTATGAACGCCTTCAAGAACAGACTAGATGAAGCTATGCAGGAACATATGTTCTGTCTTGAAATGCATAGCACCTTACGGACCAGGCAATTAGTCTAGCAGCTATCTCAGTCAATCGTCAGTTATGGAAAGATCGGGTTCCAAAGGCCGGATCCCTTGTGAATCAAGTCACGAAAAGTACAAGAATCGGCAACAGGCCATGGGCCTATTTCTTCAATGCCGACACTTCTATTCTATTATAATATGGTCTTGTTTTAGTTTTCTGTTTTCAATAAACTTAATTTGATTTAATTTGAAAATTATTGACAAGATCTAGAAGAACAGGAGTAGGGTGGTTCAACGAGTGTATCATCACAATCTGCTCAAACGCCCTAAATCACCTGATCATTTACCCACTTTTGAGCATGCATACACTTTTTAACCAACGCCGAGAACCCGGGACATATGTATAGCGAGAACCTATAGCGAGTATCAATTCGGAAGAATCTTCTTTGGGATGTATAATTGATTTAAATTTTTGAAATACTTTCTAGAACCTGGGCGGTAATGACAGCGCCATTCATACTGCACATAAACAGAGCTTCTACCACTGTTACATGATACACTTGAGTAAGTGTGAAAGAAGAGGGAATGTTATCGCGCGTAAGATTCGACGTAATAACGCTGCACTCTGAGCAGAGAGGGCTATTCGCTGCTATAACTCGGGCATGGTGCGAGTTGAGTCGCGATGAGCCGGAGTGGAGCTGGGAAAGGGAGCTTCTGGCCACTCTGTAGTTTTTGTGAAACTGGTATGAATAATATGGTCCTCAATCCTGGTCGAACCGGGTTTCAAAATCCCGGTAAAACCGGGTTTTTGGGTAAAACCTGGTATTTTTTGCCTGTTGAGTGGGGAATCTGGTATGAACAACACGGTTCTGGTATTCGCCAGGTAGCATACCAGATTAATACCAGAAATGATACCCGGTCGAAAATTGAATTTTCATAACTGCATAAGCAGGAAACTTAGGTTAGGTCAAGTTAGGAAAAAGTTTTCTTATCGAAAAAGGAGCTTATTTACAAACCTTGACCTGTCTAGGACCTAACCCGAGAAAGTCGATGAACAAAACTACCCTTTTTCATCACAAGTGAGTGGGGAAAATCTACCAGCTTCAATAGGTGGAGGGATTGCTCGCTGGATGAGATGGAGGGGCAGAGAATTGGAGGACCCACCTCCTCGGGGGAGGGACCCTCTTCCAGCAAATGAGAGAATGATGCCAGAATCGGGTTTGAAGCTTGTGTTTCATGGAACGGGGCACCGATATCTGGGTGACAATGGGATAGTTGGGATGATGTGGTCGTAGGCACTGTGAGCAGAGGAAAGAAAGGTTTTCAGACACGGGTAAGACCTCAGCTTCGCTGTGCAGGTGAGAAGCGGAGGCCGTTTGAAGACAACCCGTGGCTATGAGCGAGTGCAGAATTCCGTATGGTTTTCAACTTAGAGATGGCCGAAGGAGAGACGTTAGGGAACCACACTGGGAAAGAGTAGGTGACGAGAGACTTAATAAGGGCCTGGAAAGTCACAATGAGGGTTTCCTTCTGTTGTCCCCAGCTGGTTCCGATTTGAGACGTTCGTCTCTCAAATCAGATTTGATTTGAGAGACT